GTGGAGGAGGGAGATATTTTCTCTCTTTTCAAAACTTTTGTAGCTGGACTTTACCTTGAGCATATTTCAAAGCTGCCCTTAATGCCATTCCTTCCTTCAAAACTAATTGATTCACTGTGTAAACATTCCTGATGCACAAATACAGTCAAGGGTTGTTTGCATGTGGTCTGCAAATGAGGCACAGGAGCTAATGTAAGAGCTGCTGTTTGATCCACCAGCCTCTGAGATAGATTAAGCTTTTCTCTATGACTCACCACTGCTTTTATTGTGAAGAAAAAAAGTTATTTTTTTCTGTTCAATATGAAGAAAAAAAGTTATTTTTTTCTGTTCAAACTATTGTAATATGCAAAACCAGCATCACTATTTCAGAGTTTATAGCACAGCCGTTAATAATAGATTGTCCTATTAAACAGAAAGTTAACTTCAGTATACATCCATGATGTAGAAAACAATACAAAAAGCACAAAAAGAATGAATGGGGGAAGCACAATAAAATAGTACTTAGACTTGGAGGAGCAAACACAGCATCTTCTGCCAAGCAGAAATGAAGCCGTTGCTTTCTCCTGCAAGCATTACCTCAGCCACTTCTGGACAGATAGGCTTTTATCCATATTGCCATCTTCATGAGTCACCGTATAAATTGTTTGGCTGTCCTAAGTGGGTCTGAAGAGGGAGAAATATAAAGAACAGGTGTCATCAGCACATGGTAGAAACCACAGTCCTCAGCTCTATAGACATCCTCTTTGAGGCACTGCGTGTATGGGGACCACAAAGGGTGACTGGCAGAGCCCTGTGGGAAGAGCTCACACCAGAGTCCCTCAGGACCAGAGGGACAGAGCTGCTCAGATAGACCCTGCTACCCACTTATGGCAGGAGCAAAAGCAGCCAAAGAACGTGGAGACACCAGGAAATGTTGTCATGGTACTCTCATTTGTCATCCTAGTCAAAAGGAGGTCAGTAGCCAACACCGCTCTGGGCAACATCTAGGATTAATATTGTACCAACAGAGACTTAAGTGTTCCAGTTACTGTGTGAAGGAGATTTCCACTCAGTCTCCCCACTGGACACTCGAGAACCGAGGGATTTGAGATGGTGTAAGGACTGGAGTGATTGTCAGTGGTTGTCCCCCATCTCAAGTCCCCAGATGCCAAGCCTTTCTGATGGTTTCACATCTTTCAAGAGATCTTAATCATGCAGTGATTGCATTGTTTGAATCAGTTCATTCTAGTCCCAACACATCCCAATTTACATACTATTTTGTGTTCCCAGCTCTGTCATTAATGTTTAATGCCTTAATTCAGCCATCAATCCCCACTCAGGGAAACGATTCAGCTAAGTACATCTTTAAAGTCAAGCACATTCTTAAACACTTTGCTGAAATGAAGCGATCTTACACACATACTGACATGCTTTGCTGAACTGGGCTTTCATGCACAAAAGAGTTCACTAGCCATAGGTGCTGAGGAGAGGAGCCTTCCTCTTCCTCATGTACACTCATGTTGAAGTCTGTGGCTTGTGAAGGACTTTATGCTCTATGTTATGAGCATAACATAGAGTTATTCTGTAACAGATGTTATTCTGTAATTTAGAGTTTTCTATAACATCAATGCATTATATTCAAGGAGGCATTTGCAATCCTGTTTTGGTTTTGCTGCTGCTCCAAATGTCATGACACTACCAGACATAATCTGTTGTATTTTCTGAAATTTGTCAAGTTGATTTATTCTAAATTAAAGCTTGAAAGGTAGCTATGACTCCAAAATCTCTCTTTGCAGTAAACTGATCAGATTGAGGTGGTGCCTCATCATTGGCATTATTCAGATCTCAAAGGAGGGAAAAATCAGCAAACCTTTGCACAGATGTAATTTTGTCCCTGATCTGTCAGCTAGTAGAGATTAAAACAAAAATTAAAAAAAAAAAAAAAAGTGATCATTGGCATTATTCAGATCTCAAAGGAAGGAAGAATCAGCAAACCTTTGCACAGATGTCATTTTGTCCCTGGTCTGTCAGCTAGTAGAGATTAAACCAAAAATTAAAAAAAAAACAAAAAACAAACAACAAAACAAAAGAAGGTACTGATTGATTTCTCAAAGCAGGATATTTACCTTTGTCCACCAGGACTCTTACTCCAACACTGACCAAAATGTTTTAACTTTTCATATTGAAAATTTGATAGTATCTTGCTCGGGGTCTTGGTTTGGTGCATGGCAGGGAGGGTTTTGGTTTTTTGTTTCTACTTTTCACCTCTTTTATTCATTTCTTTCTACAGGAGAGCAAATGAAATAAACACCATAAAGGCCTTTTCAACTCTACTGCAGTCATATATTTTCAGTGCTACTGGTAGTGGTGAAAGCAGTAGTGGATTCTTTCATGACTGTTTTATACATACTTTAACATAAGTGCTTAAAAATCTTATGAAGTGCTTATTTTAAACATTTTAAGTATTTGAGAGACATTAGCAATTTACTGTTCCTTTACAAGACAGCTGTTTCCAGCAATAGCTCCTACATGGTCCATTTACCTCTACAGCAAAGAATAATTCACAAGGTATCCAAACCTGCTGTTGAAAACAGTGGAGGTGAGAGGAGGAAGTAATCTGATGGGGCAATTTTGCACTAAAGACACTGATTGTGACATTTTTGAGTTGTCTGTTAGCTCAAAGTTTGATGTAAATTTGTCCTAATTATGGGTGAAAGTCAGAGAAAAGGAGTTTCTTTAGCATGCCTTTTAGTCCATTAAACCGTACTACTAATTTTAGGTCAAAATTCTGTTTAGTCAAAGTGCATGTTCATTAAATACGCTTTCATTTTACACAAGGAGGATGTCCATGACAGCAATAAACAGGTTTGCAACTTTCAGTTTATGCAAGAATAAAGACTTACTACAGCTTGACCTAGCGTGCATCTACCCAGTCCTATCTGACCAGATTAAACTGAAGAAGCAAATTTCAAGTTTTCAAACAAACTCTACTAGCAGCCTGATATTTAAAATCAGAATCCCCCTTCTCTTCTCCACCCGACCAAAGTATTGGATTTATTAGAAAGGTTGAAAAGACATTTCCTCAAAAACTGAGAAAACCCTAATCAAATAATAGGAGTATCAAGATCTGAACAGCAGACAGATCTGTCTATCTTGTTATTGTTACCTGGAAATTGGGCAAGATAAATACTGTGACCTACTTTATATCTCTTAAGCCAGTGACAGTAACTGGGCAGTTTCTTTGTGCAGCATTTATTTCCTCTCATCAAAACTTTTCTTAGTAGGTGTTGCCCAGGGACTTTCTGATCTGTGTGACTCCCCTCGCTGTCAGTCTGGCACCACAGAAATAGCCTACTTATCACATCTCAGTTTCAGGTAAGTTGTAAATGTTTTTTTTCCTGCTAAGGCATCTTTTGGCTTAGGGAGCTTTATGAACTTTGTGGAGTTTCAGATAGTCACAGAAAGCCAGTCGTTGGCCATGAATCTTGAGAGCTATGACCAAGGCTGTGAGGCACATGCAAACAGGCAAGCAAGCCAGCTGCTGGAAACTGGATATGATGTTTCCTGTTCCTTGGGTACATGAAGGGGATGGCACTGCTCTGAGTGCGGCGTGGACGGGCACACTTGAATCAGCAGTGAGTGTGCCAGGCACGTGGACAGCTGCAGTCTTGTAGGGGCAGCACAGTCTTCAGCATCTACCAGAAAAACCATCTCAGAAAAGCTCTGTGAGGACTTACGTGGCAAAACCACACAGACCTTATGGTTGCAGCAATATGACTGCTGCTGCTTCTTATGACAGCCAGCTTAAAGTAACTTAAATAGTCTTTCGCTCTGCAGTATTTGCAGGAGTATTTGCTGTGTAAGCTGAACATCCCACAGAGAAGGTCAGTAGACTACGGAGACACAAAATCAGACAACAACTAAGAACTGTAACTGAGGGAAGCTTCCACAATAGGTTATTAAGTTCATTTATTGACGGCAAATTGTACAGGTTACAATGTGTATACTAACCCATGTTTTGGGCAGACACAGTTTTCAAGGCCTTGATTTGGGACCCTGTGAGTGAACAGCATCTTCCCATGGGGTTCTCAACACAGCACGAGGCTTCACAGATTAAAAGCAACATGTATTATACATGCCATCTGTGTGCGCTGCTCCTCAAAAGCAAGCTACATCGAGGGACTAAAAAAGCAGCAGCCTTCCACCACAAATTCCCCTTTCCTTGTCCCCTGCCTTTAATATTGCTGTCCTCTGCCATGATGGCTTTGGTCACCTTGCCGTAACGAAGCCAACCAGCCTGTCTGTGTCATACGTGGGCTTTCAGCAGCTAATTAACAAGAGGAAGCCACGGGAGTTTCTGAGAAGCCGAGCTCTGATGTAACCCAAAGCCATCCACTGGGAAGCTTTCAGATGCTCCAGCCATACATCATTGATGTCGGCCCGTCACATGGCAGCGGAGCTCACTCTGCATAATGGCTACTTGCGATGGAAAAGCGCTTCCAGGGTTTCAGCGGGGCGGGCAGCCCTTTCATCTCTCTGTCTCAAAGAGGAAGGAGACAATTATGGGAGTTTACAGCGTTCCTGCAGAAAACTCCGAAAAGGGACGTTCTCAAGGCGAGCGAAACCCATGCAGGCAGCGCTCCTGCCGCACCGGTGGTCCTCTGTCCGGCCTCTTTGTACCTCCCCATGTACATCCGATGCCTTTCCTCACCGGTGGTTCCTCTAAAACCCACGCGTAGCCGCAGAGGACTCGTGTGTCAGGATCTCCCGCCCCCCGGCTGCCCCGAGCCCTGCCCAGCGCTCCCCACTCCTGCGTGGGGGGCAGGCTCCGCGCCCCCGCCTCGCACCTCCCCGCAAGGCCAGGAGCTCCCGGGTCCCCCGGCGCGGGGATGTGGCCGGGAGGGGGGACACGGCGTTGGGGGGGGGACCCGCCACCGGGAACCGGCTCCGGCAGCGGCGCGCGGCCACCCCGCCGGCCGGTAGCCAACGGCCCCGAACCGCCTCGCCCGGCCCCGACCGGGATGGCCGACGGCAGCCCCACCTCCGTCCTGCATCTCTCCATCATCCGCTGGTGGGTGCGGGGACCGAGCCAGCGGGGCGGCTGGGGAGACCCCGGCTGGAGGTGGTAGCGGGGGGGCGAGGTGGTGCGGCTGGTCTTCTATCCCCCCCCCTCCTCCCTCCCGCCCCATCCTTGCCCGGGGGCTGGCAGGACCTACCGGGTGGGGCTTGCTACAGGGAGAGCTGGAACCCAGCTTTTAACACTTGTCTTGTAGGACAGGAGTCTGGTTTGCTGGGTAGACCCCATCATAGACTGATAGAATCACAGAGTGGTTTGGGTTGGAAGGGATCTTAAAGATCATCTAGTTCCAACCCCCTGACATGGGCAGGGACACCTCCCACTAGAGCAGGTTGCTCAAAGCCCCATCCAGCCTGGCCTTCCAGGGATGGGACATCCACAACTTCTCTGGGCAACCTGTTCCAGTGCCTCACCACCCTATCCACGCGTGGCCACGGAGGACTCGTGTGTCAGGATCTCCCGCCCCCCGGCTGCCCCGAGCCCTGCCCAGCGCTCCCCACTCCTGCGTGGGGGGCAGGCTCCGCGCCCCAACCTCGCACCTCCCCGCAAAGCGAGGAGCTCCCGGGT